GAAGAATTTTGGAAAGCACCAACATGCTATTACCATTCATTATTAATATTAAAATCTTAGGGTTAGTCTTAGAGAAGGGGAGGAATATTTGGCTTATAGTTTTACTGCATCTGCCCTAAAAGTGATTATTAATTTTCTGTTGTTGTTGTCTTTTTGCATTCCAGCCATTTGCGAGAGACCAGACGGAGTTAATGTCTCAAGCACCCATCGTGATGGACAGAGACCAGGGCCTGGCTTTTGCCTTTGAGGGAAGGAACAGAATGTGCTTGCAAGGCACTTCAACAAGGTAAGTTCTGCTTAGCAACACCACATGTGACACAGGATGCTGGAGGCATGTCGGAGGATGTGCAGTCCCGTGTCCTGATGAACTGGGTAGAACAACTCACCCTATGTGGCCAGGGGTCACCCAGAGTTTATTTGGGGAAGGGGCTCACAACCACCCCCCATGATGGCACCTGCGCAGAAAATTGAGAGCTATATAAGTCCTTAGGGGCGGTGTGAAGAAAATGGAGAGGTGCGTGACTGATGTGAGAAAAGGCGGGAACTGGGCTATAAGAGACGCAGACACGGGGAGCCCTGCACACACCCATCACTGGAGGATTACCAGGACCATCAGCGTCATCCACTGTTAACTTCGTCCTGGGATCCAAGGGTGGTGATCTCTCTCTCTCTCTCCTATTCTTGTTTTCCTCTCTCTTTTCTTCTCTTTCTCCTCCTTACCTTTGTAGATGTTTCAATAGGAACCACACCGCCTACTGTTATGCCTTCCAAGTTTAGGTTGCTTCTGCCATAAGTAAAACATTTAACTGATTGTTTGGTGTTACCTCACGTTAATTAGCCCGAGGGAATTCTGAACTCACCACAACCCCTCCCTTGTCTGTCCAGCATGGGTCGTGACACCATTACAATCATTAGACCTGCACGTAGTGAGTAAAATTCCGGTCCTGACACATACCTGCTATTCAGTTCACCTAGAACTCTTAGGCACGGAAAGAGGGATGCAGAAGAACAGAAATGGTAATGATAGATTTTTCCTTATAAAATGGTAGCAATAGATCAGATTAAAATAAACTCTTTTGCATGTTCCCTGAACACAGGATAAGAAATAATGGTCCTGAATTGCAGGAAAGGAGAGTTACGAGAATATTCATAGAGCCTCGTGTTGGGTGGGAGATGAAGGCTCCACCCTCTCCTGTCAAAGAAGCTTGTGCAAAGAAGTGTGTCTTAGGGACAGGAGAGGAAAGGCAAGAAATCCATGTCCCAGAATAAGTCTGTGGCCAGAAGCTTGTAACCACTAGGATTTGTGAGCATACAGCCCCGGTTACTGACTCCAGTTTGTGTTGAACTGTGAGTTGTTACTTTACTGGGTATATGGCTCAAGCCAACTACAGGCTCCTTGGCCTATAGAGTAGGTCACTCTTCTGGTCTAAACTGTTCACCTGCCTCTGTCCTACCAAATAGTGGGTGTGATACCAGCTCCTGGTCCTTCAGCTAGCTCAGGCAGGCAGGTGTTGGGATGTATACAGCACACATATTTAAAAACCCTATGATAATAACTTGTTTGATTTAGAGCATGTACAAGATTTTTCCCATCTGGTACTTCAAAGTATGCTCAGCAAGTTTGGCAACAGCAGTTCCTGTCTGAAAATCTTGAAATGTAGCAGACTGTTTTGAATGATCTCTTTAGTATGTTCTTGTCTGTGAAAGGAAGTACAGAGTTTGGTATATAAATTGTGTGTCTCTGAGGTGATGTTGAACCACAAGAATGTCCCTCACAGCTATTGCTGGATCTTCAGTGCAATCTGTTGGAAGGGCAGAAACCAGCAAGAGGATTTGAAATTTCAGAGTGAGAAGTGAAATCAAGAACATGTAAGGAAGTCCCTCCAATTACATCTCTTTACTGGAAAAAGCTGAAGAAGATACAGACAAGTGTAGAGCTATGGGCATAGACTGTATCCACTATGCATGAAGTACTGTATTCTTCATGCCTCATAGACTGAATACACAGGTAGTATATTTACAGAAAGGGGAAGCAGGAGGAAGAGAACTAAAACTTGTCATGTTTTTCTGTGCTTGAATTTTACAAGTAAAATAATTTAAGAAACTGATTTCTTATTCAGGACAAATTATTATTATAGATTATGAAGAGCAAATAGCTGATAAAGAATGTTCTGCACATCAGTTTCATGTTGTTTATCCAGCCTCACTTATTAGGAAGTTCACTGGCTGGTCAGAGTGTAAAAATTAAATAGAGATACATTATTTTCAATGTCCTTCAGCTGTAGCACATCACTATAAGCATGTTTGTATGTAAGCTTCTACAAAAGCTTTCAAAATTCCTGGTTTAATACTTAAAGTGGTTCACTGATTGGTATTCTTGTGTCAAGCTGTAGTTTCAGTACCGATTTCATCTGATCTAAATGTGGGCTGTGAGAGGAATAGTTTTGCCTTCCCTCTTTGTCCCAATGACAAAGTTCTCTTCTGTCTGAAATGGTGCTCTGTTCCAATGTGGCTGAAATCTATCCCGTGAAAAAAAACAAATCAGTGCAAAAATAACAATTAGTTTTCAGCCATATCAGTTGCAGTTTCATCCTGCAGCCACAGCCACCCTAATGCTGGCAAAAGGGAGGGGGAAAGGAAGCAGAGCTGAAAACAGGGACTGGGGGACCAGTGGGACCTCCCTTTTCCATGGCAACTGACATTTAGCTCAGCTTAATCTGAACTGCAACCTCATGTTTCCTCTGCATTTAAAAATCCCATTTACTGGCCCCCTGTGTTGGCAAAATGCAGACTTATTTTTTTATTTCTATTGCCATACCAATTTAATAGTTCTTTGTGAGTCAGACTTATACTGGTGCTCAGATGCTCTCCCCAGCTGGATATACTTAGACCAGTGTAAAACACCTTTATGCTACTATAATATTAAGAACCTCTGACTATTCAATTATTTCCCAATGTTTTAATTATTGCTATTCCTCCAAAACCAAGAGTGACAAAAGGATTAATTTTAAAATATGTTTAATTACTGCAGTTTAGGTTGTGGGTTATCTGTAAAAGCAAAGAAAACCCTCTATAACTCAGCAGCAATGTGTATAATAAAGTTCACTCTGTATTTCTCTCTCATAAAGCTGCTTCTTTTTTCCTGTCCTGGAGTCTCTTGCCTACCTACTTACTGTTCTACAAGTTTCCCTCTCTGTGTCTGATTTTGTGGTTATTTGGCAGCTTACATTCAGAGGGGTAGGGTGGATTGTTGCTGCTGTGGTACAGAAGCATGAAAATCTGGTCTTTTTAAGGCCTAAGACCTGATGGCAGATCCAAATAATTGAAGTCCAAACAAACACCAAACTACCAAAGGCCAGGTTTGTGTGCCCTACTGCTTTGTAGCTGTGCATGGGCTCAGAAAGATGGATTTAGCTAACCCAGCTCTGGTTTCCATGGGCAGTCTGACTTTGCACCTCATATGTCAGTAGGGTGAATCCAAATATTATTTTAAACTACACATCCATGAAAAGTGAAACTCTTTGTTCCTCAGACCTGCAAAAATAAGCTACTTTGAAGCGTTCACCAAGATTGTGTCAGACAGAATGGTGGTTCCCTATCCTCTTTTATGTGTTCCTGTCTTTCATATGTTACATCTTTTCTTTCTTGCGTTTGTCAGTTGTTTGATCCTTTCCAAATGAGCGGGGCACTCATTACCTTTCTCCTTCTTCCCCCTAACATTTCTCTCCAAGTTTGGACCTTTCTCTTTTTCTCCTGTGCGGTCCCTGGGTCTGGTTTTTTTTGGAGCAGAGGCTCCCCCTGCTGCTCTGTTTTGCAGTGTGCAATATTGTACAGTCAAAAGAAATTTAATAGGTTTCCATTATGTAGCAAAGAAAATTCTAGGGGGGAGAAAGGAAATTATTATTGAAAATTGCATAAAATAATTTTTTTATTTGCAATTTCAGCTATTCCTGAATTTAACAGCAGCTTCAAGTAATTTCTCCATAATAAAATTGAATACATTTCCAGAAGCCTTTGTTAAGCAAACTCTGAGAGAAATTGGGTGGATCTGAAAGTTTACAGTCAGCAAGACACGGTATCAGTTCTTCCCCATCTGTTTCTTCTCCAAAATTTCCACACACCACGCTGTTCCTACAAGGCCATATACCTGTCTTTGTAGAAGACGTGCTGCAAACTGACCTAACCAGCCTGGGGTTTTCCACAGACCTTGCATCCACCAGTACAGACTTGTAGTCGCTTTCATATTCTTATATTTACATAGGCATAATTGTTTGCCTGTGAATTAGCCTAGTGATTTCAGTGAAATAAGGTCTGCCTACCGGTGTATCGATTTCTGAGCATGTCAGTGTTTTCCTGGGACTTGAATTCATACAGGTTTTCTCGTACAAGTGGTCGGGGCATTTTTGCTTCTTCACATTCACATTCAAATCAACTTAAGGCACGGAAGGGTTATTGCTAATGCTGAAGTCTGTTCCGTAAACCTCCTCCACGGTCTGGTTAGCACTCGACTCCCACTTTGGCAAAGGAGAAACAAGAAATCAGCTGTTCATGGTAAACACTGTACCAGCAGCATGGACTTCTGTAGTTAGTATTTCTCCTAACTTCCTCGATTTCACTTAATATCAGAGAAGATGTGGGCCTGTTGTAAGCCTTGAACTCCCCGCCCTGCCACGAGCTGGAATGTTAGCCTGCTAAGAGTGAAAACGCAAAGCTGCGAAACAGGCGGAATGTAAAAATAGCTTAAGTGTTATTGCCTACAAAAGCTCGTAAAATTCTGGGGGTTCCGACTTCGTTCGCCGTTTGACTGAAGGCTGCACGGAGCGGCGGTTTGCCCGCCAAACCGGCCGGGCGGTCCCCTCGGCGCCGGGGCTGGGACTCGAACCCGTGACCTCGGACCGGGGGAGGGCGGGGTCTTTGCCCGTGCGCGTGCGCGCGCGCGCCGCCGCCGGCGGGGCGGGGGAAGCGCGTGCTCGCGAGCCGCCGGGGCGGTCACGTGCCCAGCGGAGGCGGGGCGGGAAGGGCCGGGAAATGCTGCGGCTGCTGGGGAAGCTCCCGCCGGGACGGGCCCTGGGGGGGGGGGCCCCCGCCC